GATCGGCATAGTATTTATGTTTCCGCCAAAAGTAACAACATAGGCCGCGCCATAGCTCAAGCGGTTAGTCGCTGGCTTTCCACCGCGGCGGCCCGTGTTCCATCCCGGGTCTGGTCAAGTGGGATTTGTGGTGGACAGAGTAGCACTGGGGCAGGTTTTCTCCCAGTACTTCGGTTTCCCCTGCCAATCTTCATTCCACCAAATTCTACATCATCATCATCACCCGGGGCAGGCTACAATAGGCCAATCAGTGGCCGCCGTGACGAGTGGACCCAGTTGCACTCCACCCCCCAATAAGCGAATTAAAAAAAAGCAACAACATTAACGTATACCCGAATCTGATAAGTCCCATTAATTTCAAAGCCTGTTGAATTTCTTGGTCCTTCAAGTGGTGCATTCCAAAGCAGCGGTGAAAGCAGTAGCGGTAAAGCACCACGTAAGACAAATGTTTGCTTATACGGACTTCACTATAGGTTTCAATTAAACAGTTAGCCCAACTAGATTCATGGCTGTACCAGAACCAAGGAGAATGTTACACGCCACGCCCCTCCGATATGACTGACAGGAGTTCGTGGAGCCTGTAGCTGACCTGTGAGTGTCTCCATTCCTTCTCCCGTATGTGGGGAATGCAGAATATCTGGTCAATAGTTGATTTGTTATTCTGAAACTCACACTGGTCTCCAGTTATAAGCTTTAATAAAGTAATTCTGCTTCAGTAATACCGCGCATTTCACGGTGACAATAGCATTTTCTTCTTGTGAAGTTTGCCCGTAGGCACATGTCTCCTAGCAGCTGATTAACTTCCTACACTAAACACAAAGGAACGAGGAGATTTTCCCCTTCTCTGAACTCTGCATGAAAGTCTGGACGCTATTAGTGTCTTACCTTGTCGAAAACCTAGTATAAACGTTCGCACTCCCCACATATTCATTCAGTGCACAAGAACCAACCTTACATCAGTTTCCCTGTGTAACTGTATCTTAATAGTTCTCCAATTTAAGTTGTGGCCCACTGGACCATGGCGCCCTGTACTCATGTACATGGGTACCAGCGCTTCGGATGAACTAATTTCCTCCATCATCTTCAGAGTTCTTTGAAAAAACAATGTCGATGTTCACTGTCATGAGAACCTCATATCATAGAATTATCCAACTGTTAAAAATATGTGCATGTCCAGCAGTTTTTTGTCTCTTTCATTAATTTTCACAAGCATTGTGGGTGGCTGTGGGCGTGCAGGTGTGCAGCCCACACAGGGGAAACTGAAATGATGGCACTTTGTCTCTGCGCACGAAACATACCCTCTCTTTCCCGGAGACTGAAAATCAGTGAACACAAAAGAAACCCAAAGATGTGCATATATCGACAAACCCGTCAGCATCAATTCTTCTTTTGTTTATAAGCCTCCCTGTCCACATGTCCCCGAAGTAATGAGATGTTCAGAGATTTCGAAGTTGGTTACTTGTGGTTGGCGCAGTCTCTTCTTTCCAATTTATTTTCATTTTTACCACAAACGTACTTACGTACTTACTCATGGAGCTGAGCCCTTCTTGAGGAGCCGCCAATTCTGCAGCTACTCAAGAATTTCCCAGCATTTTATGGAAGCCGAAGGTTCATTACCGTGTTCACCAGAGTCCTCCACTGGTCCCTATCCTGAGCGAGATCTATCCAATGCATACCATCCCATCCTATTTCTCTAAGATCCATTTTAATATTGTTCACCCACCTACGGCTTGGTATTCACAGTGGCCTCCTTCCTTCTGGCTTTCCCACCAATATCCTATACGCATTTCTCGTCTCCCCATTCGTGCTACGTGCCCTGCCCATCTCGTCCTCCTTGAATTCATCTTTCTAATTATACTTGGAGAAGAGTACAAGTTATGAAGCTCCTCATTATGCAGTTTTCTCCAACCTCCTGTCACTTCGTCCCTCTTCGGTCCAGATATTCTCCTCAACACACTGTTCTCAAACACCCTCAGTCTATGTTCCTCCCTTAATGTCAGAGACCAAGTTTCACACCCATGCAGAACCACAGGCAAAATTATAGTTTTGTATATTCTAATTTTTATGTTTTTGGACAGCACACTAGAAGACAAAAGGTTCTGGGCTGAATTACCCGAGTTCAATCTCCTCTTAAATTCCTCCTCAATCAGGTTTTGATTGTTTATAATCGTTCCGAAATATCTGAACTATGCCACAGTTTCAAAACATCTGTTTCCTATCTTTATGCCATGATTTTGCCCTGCATTTTGGTGACGAGACAGCAACATGTGCTTAGTTTTCTCTGTGTTTATTTAACCACAAACACAGTAAAATGAATATGAGAAGAGTAATTGAGAGCAGTGCTCCAAACGTCATGAGAGCGCGCTTACTTCTCCTGCCTCTTAGTTGAGACCTGCCTGAGTTAAATCCCAGTCCAGAGATTGGCTCCGCTGGCAGAGGTTTTCGTGTTTTTATTCAGTACGTCTGGAACAGAATCTCGAACTTGGTCACGATCACTTCCTTCCACGTCACATCTCGCCAGTTTTGTTACCATTCGAGACTACACAATCTTAGCAATTGAAGCGAACTTAAGAATACGCGAATAACTTCCTTAGTATTTCTGGTGAACGAAAGACGTTTTCAGGAAATGGACAGATGATATAACATGTAAATATTGATCATGATTATCAGAGGTTAAATACTTAAACTCCATCAGATTAATCTTCCGATGCCCCCATTTTCCGCCCCCCTCCCCCCTGCAAATAGTTTACCGGGTGCATAACACATTTCAGAATTCTGTGTTAAGGAACTTACCTTTAGATTATCATTTTTTCCTGACAAATGTGTAATTTTATTAATACCTTAATGTTATATTTAACTGCTCTACATTTCAAAATTTGTACTTATGTATATGTTCAGCACAACCTACTAACATCATCTGATGTGAAAATATTTGTAACTAACAAAATTAATAATTGTGTAAGAGTTTATGTTTTCACGGCGGTGACTATGAAGAATGCCGTCTTCTGGGATGTGGCACCATGTAGATCTTGTGTGAGCCGACGTTTCGGAGGAACGTATCGCCTCCAACTACAGGGTATAAGCAATCCGCGAGCGATGAACTAGCGTGAGCAGGTGTCTGTAGACTGAAGATGGAGGCGATACGTTCCTCCGAAACGTCGGTTAACAAGATATCTATATGGCGCCACATCCCACAAGACGACATTCTTCAAAATTAATAATTATTTAATTTAATTGAATAACAGTTAACATAATTTCTGTGATGGCCAATTTAATATTTATTAACTTTGTAATCACTAAAAGAACAAGATGCAGAATTTTAAGATTGGCAACTGAGCTTTATGTCTGTTGCTTTTAGTCCAGGAGGTTCATTACTGAGCAGAAACGATAAAAGCTGAAATGCATTTTTGCCACTGTGATACAGGGTGATTCTCTTGCTAGGAAACCCAAACATTACTCAAGAACTTATTAATTTTTGTTTGGTTCCTTAGGAAAATTGGCATGGACTTACAGCCTGCATGTTGCGAACACACATCTTCCGGTCTCCAGCGAGTCGAGTCGAAACACTTCCGGTTGTCTCTAACTTTTCCACAAACTTGTGAATACAGGATTTTGTCGGTACACTTACTTCAACACACTTATTCCAAAATGCCCCTTGACATTTTTAAATGAACCCGTTCGCCAGTACTGACGAACAATAAACACGCGCTGTTCAGCGGAGTACATGTTTCCGGGACACGCAATCACTGTACACTGAGTCAGACGTCTGCTTGGCAGTCACGTCTCGACGTCACGGGTACAGTCCACTTCGTTAAGGGGTGTGATGGTTCTGCTTCGATAGACGGAAGTTTCGTCCATGTCAATTTTCATGGGGAACCATACAAAAATTATAAAGTTATTGAGGAATATTTGGGTTCCCTAGCGAGAGAATCACACTGTATTTATCCTGATCCTAAAATTGTGGGTAGCGTTCGTAGAAAGCTAATAAACAACGACGGTTAGAGAAACTTCAATGGCGAGGAGTTTCATGATGTGTACAATACTGTTCACTATTAGGGTGACCAAATCAAGGAAAATTTGACTGTCGGACTTATGACATTCATGGGACAGCTGAGATATTTATAAAAATTGTTGCCGGTAAAGTTGAGGGAAGCCGGTCACGGTAGCCGAGCGGACTAAGGCATGAAGTGTCTTCGCTCGCTCGGAAGCCTGGATCGTTGGTTCGAATCCCACACAAGGCATGGATGTTTTATATGTGTGTGTTTATTCTCTTTGTGTTGTCCTTTGTTTAGGCGGAGGCCTTGCGAGGAGCTGATCACTCGTCCAAGGAGTCCTACCGCCTGTAAAAGTGATCATGATACTGAAAAAGTCAGAGGCCAGGACCCAAAGGGGCTGTAGAACCAGTGGAAAGAAAAAGTTGGAAGGGATCCTGCGAGACCTGCGAATAGGGGGACAAAATACCCGTCTTAAGGAAATGTGTTGTGAGGGTGTGGACTGTATTGAACCGGCTCATGGTAGGGTTCATTGTTGGCTTTTCTTTAACTCTGTAATGAAACGTGAGGTTGCATAAAAGGCAGAGAATATGCTGAGTAGCTGAGGGAGCATCATGTTCTCGATGACTGTGCTCCATGGAGCTGGTTCCTTTAATGAAAATGGAAGGATCTGAGAGCACACGCATTCAGAAGACTGGCTTGTAGTGCATTCAGGATGTGTCCGGACCAGAACGCAACGGACACAGGCCAGTGAGTGGCAACATATTGGAAGTGCGACGGGAAGGTAGTTTTGAGCACACTTCACGTTATGATCTCGCAGTAGAGGGCTGGAACTTGCTTGTGATCTACACACGCGACTTGCTTGTCCCTTTTCCTCCTCTGTGTTTATTTGTGCCCCATACACATCCCGAATAGACTCTCTGTGATCCCAGATAACGGGTGGACTTCATGTTCAACGAACTAATAATTGTGTACTGAGATGACATGAAATTTGCTCTTCTGCTGCAGATCACGTGGATTGACGGGCTAGGCAACGTGCTGGGCAACGGCTTGGAGTACATCGTGGAAGCCCTCCCGGACGGCAGGCGCTTCACGGCCAAGTCCATCCTGAAGCTGACGCCTAAGAAGGAGCACCACAACACCTCCTTCACCTGTCAAGCACAGAACACGGCGGACCGCACATACCGTAGTGCACGACTAAGGCTCGAGGTGAAGTACGCGCCCAAAGTGGCCCTGAGCATAGTCAGCGGACTGGGGCCCTCAGGGCGGCTGACGGAAGGCGCGGATGTGCGTCTCGCTTGTAAAGCCGATGCCAATCCTCTGGATCTTACGTATCGGTGGTACATCAACGATGAGCTGGTTCCAGGAGACTACACGACGGAGCTGATGATCCCTAATATCACGAGGAAATACCACGATGCGATCGTGAAATGCGAGGTTCACAATCCGGTGGGAAAAAGCGAGGAGTCGGAGACCCTGGACATTAGCTGTAAGTGGCACTTACGGCACTAAAGACGTTCTTGAACAGTGTCGTTAAATATACTAAGAGTCCCTTGTTAGATTGCTAATGCATGGACATCTCCGTCTTACTGACCCGAGTTCGATGGACGTGAGGTTTATAATGTAAACTTCCTTGGCGCTGATCCTTTCGTTCCTCAGTCCCCCCCCCCACCAGTGTAACCAACGCAGAATAATTAACTCGGCTAGCATAAACGACACGCTGATGAAGATAACAATATCGCAGACTTAGCTTTTGCCCTCTCAGATATGCTTACGCTTTTTACTCCATAAAACATATCCTCCTGTGTGAAATGTAATGGTTGTCTCCTTAACTTCCGTCAGGCTGCATTCTGAGTAATTTCGCTTAGTGGGGGGTGGAGTCCAGCTGGGTCCACTCGGCACGGATGCCACTGATTGGCCTATTGTACCTGCCCCGGGTGATTATGATGATGGAGAAATTGGTGGAATGAAGATTGGCAGAGGAAACCCAAGTACTCGGAGAAAACCTGCCTCCAGCGCCACTTTGTCCACCACAAATCCCACTTGATCAGACCCCGGGATCGAACCCGGGCCGCCGCGGTGGTGTATTCTGAGTAACTAGCACGTTTCACGTGGGTTGCTCACCAATCCCCTGCACGGTAACCCCCCCTTTGCCATTTAACGAAGAGTTATAACTTCTGGGATATAACGCCGTGCATTCTGTTATGTCCCAGAAGCTAGAACTCTTCATAACGACCGCTTTGAGAACCTCAACTTCTGCACTTCATCTAACGTTTCGCGGATCCTTAGAGGCCTTCATGGAGATTGAGAATCAGGGACTTTTAGTAGTCTGCGCTGGCATAGAGTTAAAGAGAATTTTAATTTATACCAGCCCATCACTCGAAAATCGTACTTATTTTAATATAATAAAGCTGATAATTGTTCCATTGAATGCAGGTTTCATAGAAAGCGTCAAAGGTTGTATTTCCTACAACTGCAATATTTCATTCGATAATGGATTAATACGCAAGAGCGCATTGATTTTTACCCGCTGACAGTACTGAATAACTGACAAGTGTTGACAGTAGGTACAATGGAAATGCCTTCCTCTCAATCGTGTGTCTGTTAATGGCGACAATGAATTTCTCTTTCCCTAGTATCAGTCATTCGAGTTATGTGATTTTCAATTATGCGTAGTGTCACAAAATAATCGACTCAACAGGGCACAAAATTCTAGCCAATTTCTATCAAATTCTGTAANCTCAGATTGCATAATAAATATGGGAGTCTCAAACAAAAAAAAAAAATTCTATCAAATTCTATATGATGGATCTAGCCTAAATTATGTCTGTTTATTTTAATTTTGGTTTAGTTCGGATAATTAACATATAAAGCCGGATCGCGTGTAATTTGCTGGTGACTTTGTGCCCCTCAACTGTTGCATTTCACAAGCCTAACTCCTGTCCGTAATATTCACAAATCGAAATGGAGGCTTTTCCACCATGCAGACAAACTTTTGTTATCATTTCATTCACAATATGCTGTAATTTTAATTTTACATAATTCCGTCTTTATGTATTTCTTATATATCTCCTGACGATGGCTTTTCTGGGTCGAAACGTGCTGTGAATGAAATATTAAAAACATTCTTTTGTGCATGACGGAATAATATCACCATCATTATTTATTCCTTTTGGGTCAGACCGTATAAATAGGCATAAAATAATTTTCCACTGATCTGCCCCTTGTGCGTATGGTAACTTCTAAACACATTGTCTCCTCTTACCTGTCCACGGATTGGTGCATTCGTTTGCTCCTCAATTTACCGTACTACCTTTTCTACTCTGCGCTCCTGGTTCTTCACTAAAATTCATGGGTATTCTGCCCGTTAGTCAAATGGTAAAATAACAAAATAAACTGCCTAAAAACCTAACGTTGTGACAGAAGTAACACAAGCGTTAAGTGTTCAGTCATCACAGACACACAAGTGGAACATTTCAATGTGTAAGTTGGGCACGTATCTTTTTCGTGTGCTTAACCTTTATCTTATTTTAAGAAGTTTTATGCAGTTCACTTTCAGCGCAGCGAATCGCAAATGATCCCATGAGTACAGACCCACCCCCCCACCACCTCTTGTTGACGTTTACATAAACTGAAGCCCACATCAGGAGGATGAAACATTTCAAAGGCCGTGAGACCCGTACTTTTAAGCACGTGAACACTTACAAGTTACTGAGCTTAATCAAAGCCAAAGGAAATGCTAGAACTAATTGCCACTGGCACGCGCTGTTGGTGAACCTGGCTCCTGGGAGTTGCGGGTTCATCAATATTATCGCGCCATCCCATCAGCTGCTGCGAACCCCTGGAAGGGAAAGCAAGGGGCCAAGCGGGTTCAGTTCACGTCGCGTGTCGTGGGGGCTTGCCAGGTACCTTTAGGAGGTCCACGAAAATATGAAAGGAAATTTTCTTCGCCCCTTGCGCAATTTACACAGTCCCGTTTGCAGCAACATGAATTGGCTACTTTCTCTTTTTTCTGCTAAACATAAACGACAAACTATTATTGTCATAACGTAAAAATATCTTCATTTTAAACTTAATAGCAACAGAAATAAGAAGAAAAACCACGTAAATATAGGATATAGTTATTGACAAACAGTGAAACTGACAGATCGGTAAAAATGCTTACGTCTCATTGTTCTAGGCAGTAAATTACACGTTACTTGTCGCTTTATGACTTTTAAGGAAAATTGTAATTATGTACCTATAGCACATGCTTTAAGATTCATTGACTCTCCATTTTGTTCACATAGCGTATTTGTCTCTTATGACCTTCAATACAAAGAGGAAGTGCTTCTGTAAACAGTATTAACCAGTGGGTCTTCGTAGTGCAGACATTGCATGTTTTATGAAATGAAGGAAGTGAAGTTTAAAGTATTATTTAGATGAACCTAATGCAACAGAGATTTAAAATAATTCGAAAGTTCGCACTTCCTTGCTGTGTTCAGGGTGACAATTTTGGACACATCAACCTCGAAGCTTTGAGGTTAGGGTTACTCTGTAGGTCTGTCCCATCATTGTCCTGATTTTCTTGCATGACGAATTCCACACTAAATTTTCCTTTTACAATATAAGCGTAGGGCATATGAAATCAATACATGCTTTGCGATTATCAGCGAACGATTAATACTATTTTATGAATACTTTAAAATTCTCGCCAACAACTCAAAACCCTCAAAATACCAGCATGCTGTCAGGCGAGCCCTGTTGCAATATTTATTATCGTTTAGGCAAGTGTTTAACGAAAGATGAAATATCAAGCATATTGGAATTATGAACTATGCGCCATGATTTACATGATAGTTCATGATGAAACATTCAACACGATAACACTGTCACATGTATGGCGTGACTGTGTATGGGGTTTGAATTGGTAATTGCATTTACTGAACACTTACAGATCGTAACTACGCGAACTCGCTAATGGCTAATTCACACACTCAACAGATCACAGTACGTACTAAGTCTTCTCAGTCTGCTCTCTTTACCGGTAGTTATCTGATAACGGCTTCCAACGCCGCAGATCCATCAACTGGCTGGACAATGTCTCACAGCTAACTAGACCAACTAGACTCTAGACTTGTCCTTCTTATAATGCCTCAGCAAGGAACGCATAGAAATCACCGCTTCCAACAGTTCTATTGTTGCGTCACACAGCTGTCGCCCTTAGAAGGTACAGAAGACCGCTTCGCAATTAGTCCTTCGGTGCTCCTTACGAATCTGTTCCTAACAACGGCCATTGTTTACAGACCCATTACTTAACAAGGGGCCTGCATGCTACAAAATATACTGGCTACCAGATACGTTATGGATTAATGTCAATAAAACGCCGTTCCCATGAAACTGTCGCCTTTGCATACATTTCAATTGCAATTCATTGTGCCTGTATCACATTAACAAAAGGCACACTCCAAAACCATAAACGGGAACTAGTGAATTTATATATCCTGCCCTTCTGAATGCAGTGTTGATTGGAGCATTGATATCCGCAGTCACAATAATTTTAAAATTAGAGGGAACTGAAATTTACAGATTAGAAACTGCAGTCTCGTTGCTCTCGAATTTGGGTGCTCCTGCTCACCGCAGTGGCAGCAAGTTGTTTTGAGAAACGTGGCAATGAACTGTCAAGCACGCACATTGTTAAACTGGGGTTGCAGTGTTATGATGGCCCGCGAAAATGACGTGGCAAGTAATTGCTTACACCGGTCTGCTTGTCTTGATAAATTTAGTAAACAAAATGCATTCTTGAGAAGATAGCAGGATAGCGTAGTCAGTAGAGCGAGGGGCTTCGTGCTGGACGACCGAGGGGTCGGACTTCGAGTCTCGGTAGCGTTAAGAATTTTCTATTCTCCACGTCGTCCATACCGGCTTTGGGGCCCACCCAGCCTCTTATCCAAAGGGTACCGGGGGCTCTTTCCCCGGGTTAAAACTGACCACTTACCTCCAGTAGTGCCGAGGTAAAAGAAATGTGGATCTATATACCCACTCCCCCATACACCTTCATGGCGTAATGCTTAATTAGTTAAGCACAGCGACAACCTTGTCTTTACCTCTTATCCTTGAGATGCTGATAATCGCTAAGCAGATAAAAATATCCCTCATTATTTATGGAACTCAGATGTTCACTGCCCTGCTTACAAGAGCCCGCCACCGTACTCTGTCCTGAAGGGGCTGCATCTAGTCACATTTCCGCATTCCATTTCTCTATATCCATTCTGATGTTATTCAGCATCACTTAGCTGCATGCTACATACCCTGCCCATCACACAACTCATTGCTTCCATCATCCTATTACTATTAGGTAAAACGGGATAGCTCAGTCGGTGCAGCGACTAGGTTGTGGGCTTGACGGCCGTGGAGTCGGGGTTCGATGACCGGCAGAAGAAGAGACTTGTCTTCGCTCCATAACGTCCAGACTGAATGAGGGCTCAACCCAGCCTCCCGTACACTGGGTATCGGTGGCATTTTCCTTGGGGGTAAAGCGGCAGAGGCGTCAAGCTGACCACTCCCTTCTATTGCCGAGGTCAAGAATGGTGGAGCTATAACTCCACTCCATAATACGTCTTCATGGTATGATGCGCAATTAATGAAGCCCAGGGATAAATTTATATTTACCTCAAAGGTACAATTTGTGAAGAGTCTGGATTTTTTTTTCTACTCCTTCCTCTCCTTTGGGTCTAGATGCTCTCCTCAACACCCTGTTCTCAGACATCCACAGTGTGTCTTCGCTTTGGTTAAAGGACCCAGCGACGTTCTGACTTAAGAGAGAAGTAAAAATACAACTCTATACGTTTCAGTTTTGGTGCTTAGACATGGAAAGTAACTTTGAGGTCTTGGTTACTGCGAACGCATCTGCTTCATGTCCTCCTCTTGTATGGACCATTGCCTTTATGTGCCTGTTCATAACACAGTCGCGATAACTAGGGCTTATGTCTGCTATACCCGCAGCAATGACAGTGTCAGTTCATGTTTCTGCAGATGGTCCAAGGTTTCGCACTCGACCTCGAAGTATCCAGGCAGACCTCGGCACGACCATCACATTGTCCTGTGACGTAGACGGAAATCCACCTGCAGAGATAGAGTGGATCCACGACGACACAGCAAAGGTAAGACACGTCACCTGCTCAGTAACGCTTTCATTGATGCAATTGTTTCCGTGTGCTTAGATGTGTCACAATTCGTCGAGCGATTTGGTACAAGAAATAACACATTTTGTTTGTATTTGGAAGATTACCGATTCTCCTTAATCATGGCTTTTGTGAACTTCCGTAGTCCCTCCAGGCATATGTGGAACAGAGCCTCAGTTAGGATAGTCCGAACCTCCGGAGATAGGGGCTAGCTCTGTCTATTGGACCCAACTGAGTAGGTTTTACCTGAGGACGGCGACAGAATCCAGTCCCTGAAACGCTGTGTTTTTAAAAGAAACAGGACAGTTTTTAAGAACAGACAAGATGATGGATAATGTCCAGCAACATATTAGTTGTAACAATTTACCATCATCACAAACTTTTATATCTTATCTACATAACAGAACTGGAGGAACTGCGTTGAAAAGTAGATTGATTACGGACCAGTGATCATGAACACTACTCGATGGGGCAGCGTCTTCCTTCATCAACTGATATGGGCTCAAGTATTTATGAACTGCCCAAATTTTATAGAACCCAGAAATTCAATACAGTGTTCGCCTGAGCCAGTCACTTGCCCTGTCTTGAGCCAAATAAATCCAAACGCTGGAACATGTGTAAGATTTGAGGTTCTCACAGCGTAGGTTATGAAGAGTTCTCCTGCGATATAACGGTGTGTAGTCCGTTGAAAGTCAGCTGATATTTCCGAGGAACATTTCTCTGGTTCCTCGCTAGTCTTCAACCCCGAAGATGGGAGCTACATATTCCTTCGAAACGTCGGTTGACTTCAAACGGGCTACACGGCGTTATATCCCAGAAGTCAGCACTCCGCATTGGAATATGTCTGCAACAGCATGCCGAAAGGCATGGTCATAAGACTGCCGCAGCAAACAAGTATGCAGACGGAACATAGCCTGGCACCTTGCTGTACTGGCATATGGACGATAAACGTCTCTTACATGAGAGTTTAACTCGGCTTCTTTAGTACCCTCAAAGGGCCTATTTAATCTCGGAAAACTGATTTATCCTACATCAGTACTTCATAGAAATATCCGCTCAGACATCGAGGAATGGTATCCTCTGTCAGACGTACCGCGTCAGTGCAGGATCGTTAAGCCAGAACACGTCCGTTGCATAGACATGTGGTCCGTACTTGCATGTCATTCAGAGGGAACAGTGGTTTGTATCTTTTTATGTAACGAGGGCAATTCAATCGATAATTGAATTAACGGCCATTTTATTTTCCATTGCCATATAAAAAGAATGTACTGTACTTTACTTCCGAAAGTACGCAGTATCTGTAAAGGTATATACGTCAGCGTGACAAGTTTGTAGGTCAAAAGAATTTTCCCTATCGGCTACAAAATCGAGCTGGAACTAGTAGTTCACAGATGCATTTATAATATCAGCTCGTTGCACCATGTCTGGATAAATGCTTCAAGAATTGTCTGTCGCTAAGCTAGTTGCGAAGTTCCCTGCCTGAAATTTCACTGCTGCGATTACAAGAGCCAGTCAATGGTCTCTAACCCAGTCCACATCCTCACGCCGCGTTATTTCAGATACATTTTAATGTTTCCCTCTCATTTGCGCATAGGTCACTCAAGTTTTCTCTCCTTCAGGATTTCTGACTAACTTATATGTACTTCTCCCCCTCCCATGCGTGCTACACGGGCCAATTCTCCTTGAACTGATCACCATAACGATACGCTGTTGAGAGCACAAACCACGAAACTCACTGCAAAATCTGCTTTAGCCTCCTATGTTCCAGTATTGCCTTCAGCCCAATCAGCCTTTTCCCCTGCCTGGGGGACGTGTTTCACGCCCATACAAAATAACTTTAATTGTAGTTACAACTATAACAAATACAATTATAAGTGTATTTTCATTGTATTTACTGTGTGCTAGTGTGTCCTTCGTTATTTGTGTAGTTTTGTGTGCTGTGTTTTGTTTGAGTGTGGTGTGTGTTATTTGTGTGTTGTGTCTTATTGTAGTACCACTGCCACCGGGAAAAACCTCCATTTGCAGTTTAAATGAATAATAAGAATAAAATCGTTACACTTTAATAATTAGTTGCTATGGCGTTTTCCCTCAGAGTTAGGCCTTCAATTAATATGATGACTCACACTTTTCATGCATCCCTTGTGCTCAAACGGCTGGGGATAGATTCCCATGACCAATTACTCTGAATGGAAAGGTTGGTGTATGTTTTTTTAAGGGAATAGTTCAATATTAAAGTTGCGTACCGGCGCGGTAGTGTAGTTGGTTTAGGCACTATACTACAGGCCGGAATGTCGCGGGATCGAATCCTAATGAGGTGGATTTTTACAATTTACCTAATCCTTCCAGCCGCACTATGTCCCTGGGATCGACTCAGCCTCTAACTGAAATGAGTACCCGTAATCTTCCTGGGGATAAAGGGCGGCCGGCGCGTACGGCTGACAACCTCACCGCCATCTGTGAGCCGATTGTCTGGAGAAAATGTGGGAGCCTCAACATATCACAACCCTATGGGCCTCCACGGAGTGTTACAGGGATACCTATACTTATTTATTTTCTTACTTTACTTTGTATCGGCAATAACTAACACGATGGGTTCGACAGGGGATACTTTGAACACGCGGTACTGTTAGAAACACGTTCGACATATTCACATGGGTCAGTCTGTGTGACTTGCATTCGCCATGTGACACCCACGCACGCATACGGAAGGCAAGAAAAGAAACCGATCATTTGTCCGTAGCCTACTGGACTGCTGAATGACATCGCGTTACCAGAATGAAGAGGGGTGCAGTTACAGATCGCGTAGTTGAAGATCTCTGACGAACATTGTCACGGGCTGCTTTAACAGTTTCAAGGCTAGAAGAGCATACGAAAGTGAGCTGAGTATATAAACGCGAGAAGACTGAAGAACTGCACAGCCAAGTCTGGTATATGTCTCAGACTGTAGAGCCCCTATTTGCAGAGGAAGCTCACGTTTATAAAGGGACAAAACTAACTCCGCTGAATTGAGTTTAACTTGCTGTGGAAGTAATTGTACAGAAATAGAACAATCGATATGTAAATTGATGCAATTTAATATTTGTATAAGGCACACGGGAAGTGAACTCTACTGCTCGAAAGGGCGCTTTGTAGTCAGCTATTTAAGCCAGGGCATTGGAATAACGGTTTAAATTTTAATAAGATTTTGTGAGGAAAGGAAAGTATAGTGAGTTAGTATAAAAGTTCTTTCTGAACTCTTTTATCTCGATTATGAAACACAAATCTATTATTAGATACATAAAAATAAATGTATTATATGGATGCAGTATTTGCCAGCCTATTTGTACGCTTATGCCTATTTTAAAATCAAGAAAATTAAACTCCGGATAAAAAACGAAAGAAAATTTCATAGACCAGAGAACGTCTTTAGAAGAAACCGGACCATTAATACTCGTACATTTTCCATCTTTCGTGGAGACTCGGTGTTTATTACTGATTTCAACAATTTCCGTCAATAAAACCTTTTCTGAAGCAGAAGAATCCCGTTCACGCGCTCAGATTGAATTTCTTCAGTGTACACTTTAATATTGTCCTCGCATCTACGCCTGTCTCCCTCGATGCTTTCGACTAAACCAAATTTTCTCATCCCAAATGCGTGCCACATGTACCGCACCCCCCACCCTCCTTTATTTTATTGCCCTAATAATATTTCGTGAAGAAGGGAAATTATGATGGCGCTCATAATGCAGTTTTCTCCAGCCTGACCTTAGGTCCAGGCATTGTCTTCGGCACCCTGTTGTGAAACACCCCTAATCGTAGTTCTTTCCTTACGGCGTCAGACCAGGCTCCACCCCAGTACAAAAATCGTCAGACAAATTTATGGTTTTGTGTATTCTTATCCTTAGGCTTTTATTTAGGAGACACGAAAAAAATGATTCTTAATTGCCCTGAAGATGAGCAAGCACATTCTTCCGAAATGTTTGTATCCAGTGACAAGACTACACAGCATCACAACCCAGAGGACTACTCTCGGAATTCTTTACGTGTTCTGAAGATAAGATGATAATGGTTCGTAGTAGATTGCAAGGAACGGTTTGTCAAGGCTGAATTTATAGCAACAGCTGCAGATGTTTCTCAGGTCGGTGGCAGCTGAAAGAAAGGACATTACATTACTGCAGTGACAATCCAGGATTTCAGTGGCCGTAAGGGAAGGCACAGTGAAATTAAGGATGATGCAAAGCTTTCAGATCGTTTATATTGTGACGTTTCAATTCGGGCTCTTTACAACGTTCTTTTCCCTTTAAGGATTCTGTAAAATAGTTGAAACTAAAATATTCATAAACCGTAGGGACAGATCTCACATATGTCACACTTCCAGGTGGCATGGACATAAATGTATCACTCTACATCTCTAATGAAGAAAGCTGTAACAAGAGGTGGGACGCGGCAGCTGGTGCGTCATTGTATGAAACGTTAAGCTATCTAAAGTTCGTAACAGGGCAACCAAAGCAACAACAACCCTCTGTCGCGCAGTGAAAGCGGGCAAATGTATTGAAGAAGGGGCTTCAGCCGCATTTACATCTCCTGCCAGATCCACGCTCAGGAAATGTATGCCATCAGAAGTAGACAGTTCTGACAAGGACGCTGTGCGTAGAATTGTATAGGACAGACTAGGAGAAGTCTGAACTGAAGAAGATCCATCCTAAAGCTTGTAAATGAACAAGTTTTAAAGAATAACTGGCCTCATTACGCAAACTACTTTGAAAGATTGGATTGAGATAGCTCTTAAGTTGATCAGAAATAATGCCGCCATTGTCCAGCTCATATTGCCAGAATTGCAACTTCTTGAAATCTGTTGTGATAATTACTATCTGTTTCCGTCATACCACAAGATATGTCAAGCATATTTTGGGGGGAGTGGAAGAAAACAGCAAATATAACAAAGTTGTTGAGAGATACGGCATTCTCGTATTGAGGGTAGCCTACTTGAGAGAGATCTG